TAATAATAATAATAATAATAATAATAATAATAATAATAATAATAATAATAATACAATAATAATAGGACTCCACCAGAGAGCGTTGCAGTACCTGTCATGTTGTGCCTTAAGGTTGTCGAAAAGAAGTCGGGGTATAATGAATAGAAATAAATGTATATTAATAATAATTTGTATTTGTTTCTAATGCGTCGGAATGCGTTTGTTTCTTTCTTTGTTTGTTTAGTTGGTTGGTTGGTTGGGTGGTTATTTTTGTATGTTTGATTGTTTATTGGTGAGTTTGTTTGTTTGTTTGTTTGCTTACCATAAAGGTTTCAAGTCTGGATTTTTTTTTTATTCTTTCTTTCATAGCGTATAAATAGGAGCAGTTGCCCCATCCTTAAGGCATGCATAGAATAGAATACTTACAAATCCACGCGGTCATTGTCATGAAGGGTATTGCACAATAATCAATTATCATTGTTATATAAATGTTTTAAAAATAACAACACATGCACAGTAATGTTCATTTGAGAAGTAAAACAACCAATATTAAGAGCAACAACGTTCAAAGCAACAATCTATATTAATATGTATATTATTAATACGTATAGAGCACAGCAGGTTCACGGGATAGAAAAAGAATCACTCAAAGAAGCTGTATTCAATTAACAATCTGTTGAAGGCTTGCAGATAAATTCTTCTTAGAGCATCAAAGGATAGAATGAACAGTAGATTTAACCTACTTAAGAAACGTAGCTTTGAGGCGGGAAAATGTGTGTGGGGGGGGGGGGCGTGGCACAGGAGTGATTCCGGCTTGCCATAATGATACACAATCTGTTTGCAAAAATGGCAGCCATTACGTAATAGGAGCGAGTCCAAACAATTAGCCCAACTGTTTAAAAACAACAGATAGACGAGTTACGGGACTCTTCAAAGGTCCAACTTTGTGGTCACTGTACAATGTATTAGTACATGTACTGGTTTAGCAGCCTTATAAACGACTACGGTTGCTATGAAAGTGTTTGAGGTAGGATCCCTCCACTTTTCGTCCATCTCCTACTGGACTGAGTTACTTACTTTATTTTACTTTTTCATCCTCTGTTGCCGTTAAACGTCGAGAGGCGATGCAGTTTTCTAGGGTAGGTCAGCTCCGCAGCTCTTTCAGTTGTGATATTATGTTTACCTAGGGTTTCCTTGACACCCTCGATCCACCTTTTTCGTGGCCTTCCTCTTCCTTTATAGCCTGAGTGCTTAGTGTTGTAGGCTCTCGCGGCTGGTTGGCCAGGTGACATACGTAACAGGTGGCCAAACCATTTTATTGTTTTTCTATTAAATACAGGCAGTCTCAGTGCAGATAGCTGCTCTTACTTCTTCGTTTCTCTGCCTGTCTCGTCTTGTGATGTTAAAGGTTTGGCTGAAACATTTCTCTCTGAGTTAAATGGTACAAAAGCTAGGAAAACTCCCCAGATAAATCAAGCACAGGACTATCCCATCGCGGACTCAAACCAGGGTTATCTGCATCTTAGTCCAGCATACTAACTAACCGATCAAACGAATTGTTTCCAAGTCATAGAAAACACTGCCAGTTTAAATTAATAAGCAAATTATTGCTATTCGAAGCAATAAATTCAAAACCATACCTTTTTGCATGTAACCAAACTCGCTCAAAGTGAGGGATGCTGCAATGTCCGATTGAAAACTCTCAATGTCTTTATCATATCGCGAGTGCAAAGCCATGTTTGCAGTAAAGAAAGATTACACGTGGTGGAGATTATGCTGTACACTTTGGACCAACTATCTAACAGCAAAAAACATCTAAAACCAAAAATTTAAGAATAAAATTTAAAAAAACAGCAATTCATCTTTGGCATCATATATAATATACAATCCATGTTTTCATTGCATAAGTTTAATGCCCTTCCAACACTGTAAGGTTATCTAAGAGGCGGAATGTCCGAAATTAACGTCCATCTCCGATACGGCTGTTGCTCCAAGTGGGTGGAGAGTCTTAATTAAAAACTCCAAAATAACCCCAGTTCAGAATACCCCCGTGGGGATTCGAACTAGGACCAGCCATTCCCTAGTCTGTCCCCGTGTTTTATGCACCCCGCATAATTTAGCAAAGTTTGATCATTTTTTTGCCTAATTTCTGATTAATTTCCTTTATCATTCTTTGTTAAAATTAAAAGAATCGCATAATTTCATATTTTTGGGCTCAGTTTACATAATTTCAGAATTTTTTGGGCATAAAATCACGGGGCCAGCCTCGTACAGCACAAAACCGACTGAGCTCTCGATGCCCCCCAGTGTATAATCCACAAGAATATTGGACATAAATCCTTCTCTACACACAATGGCAAACGGTGAACTGTTTCTGTGAGGGATTGTTCGGGTGCTGCAGAATACAAAAATGCCTGTATGGCACGACATATAATACACTGCATGCAATGGGTTGATAAGATAAGATAAGACAAGATAAGATAAGATAAGATACGATTGATATCTACAAAAAGAAATTTGTTGTAGTACGGTTAATATATACACGCACTCGCGCGCACAGACACACACGCACACACATTCACACACACACGCACACACACACTCTTTCAAACGTACACACACACCCTTTCACACACACACACACACACACACACACACACACACACACACACACACACACACACACACACATATATATAATTATAAAATCAAACAAAACATAAAAGGCAAGATTCCTGGTTAGCATGGTTTTCGAGGAGTCTACAAATTATCAGCAAGTCCGTATTTCAACGACAATATGTACAAACTGATTGTCAAAATTATGTAAGCTGGAAAAATAGCACCACGGTCACACCTTGTGTTGTATTTCTCAGCAAATAACATTTCAGATGATGAGTAAAATACACATAATAAAAGTCATAAATCTCACGAATGGAAAAAAACGGACACTAACAGGCTGGGATACCTCAGGCCTGGTCATTCAGGTATCACCTCTGCTGTTGCACTTTCCCCAATAACGTTGGGTGTTTTTTACCACAGAAACAAAATGTTTATTTATCTGGTAATTTTGATGAGTATACAGCTGAGAATGTGTTCAATGGTCTGCTGGGGGGCAATAATATAGTGTAAAGCGCATAGGGTAAAGTCTTTTTTTGTTTAAATTTGGCCTACCACGGCTAAAGTACACAGACACAAGTGAACTAGACCCAAACGTCGCTAAAATAATATGGAGACTCTTCTTCGTAGCTTCTGACCCTATTGTGTGGTAAATGTCCGTCCTGTACAAACAATCAGTCTTTTGTATCTCAGTGTGGTTGGTGAAGATGGAGATACTTAGGACGTGTACTAAGAATGTGCAAGACAAGATCGCCCTATCAGACATTGGAGACCAACTGGAAAAAGATAACGGAGAAAACCAACTGGAAGCTACACAGGCACAATAAGAGATGAGGCAATCACCCAGGGTCTAGATGTGCCGAAATTGGAGGACGTGGCCAAGGACAGACAAGCGTGGCGTCGAATGTTCTCCGTCTTATGTTCCTGACGGTGCAGGGAGAGAGGAAAGGCTCAATCCGAATGGATCCGAGCGATTCTTGGACGAGACTTCCCGTCCTAGAACGGTTCCAAGTCGGAACGAGACCTCGCGCGGAGTGGCTTCGTTCTCTCCCATTTTTTGCGGTAGGAATTTTGGAGTGAAATATTTAGGTAACGTCATCTAGTTGACAGTAGCTAGTAGGTCAGGGTTGGGGCATGCTGGCATGCTAGGCTAGCCTAGATGTAAGTCTAGATGATCAAAACAGCGTCTGAGAGTCTTACTTCTTTTGTAATGGACGCAATAGCTTTGATGTTCCTATATTGGATGTGAAGAAGAAAGCAGAATTGCAGGCGCAACTATGTACATAATATTCATCAACGACGAAGATAATCGTGCGTGTGTGTGTGTGTGTGTTTGTGTGTGTGTGTGTGTGTGTGTGTGTGTGTGTGTGTGTGTGTGTGTGTGTGGTATTAAACTAGTGTAATTTTTCACACTGATTTCAAATCTATATAAAAATTGAGATTTGAGTAACAATAAATGTGTCTCTAAAATCCCTCCCACCTGGAGGTTTTGTCGAATCACGGATCAAATCTAAGCGCTGCACCTAGTTGGCCCCGTTAACGGACGACACATAAGAAACTTGGGGACACGAATCGTACACACTCCGTGCACTCTGATTATTTTCCTAGTGAATAAATCATCCCGACAAAATGTAGTTCCGCAGACAAGAAACTCTGGGATCCACTCGGATTGAGCCTTAGGTAAGTAAGTGGTCAGTAAGTGGTCAGTAAGTGACGTGTAATCTGTCAAGCCTTGCGCTGGCGAGGTTTGGGCGGGGGAACTGGTTTCTCACTGCGGTCTTTGGAGTTTGAGCCGTGTGAGGGTGAGAGTACGCTAGGCCGGGCGGGGACGTCAGGTGCCTCCCGTAACGTCATGGCAGCCACCTGTTTCCTTAACCCAACATGGTCATCTCGGTCACTCTCCTGCGCCATCACCGCTTCCGTGTCGGCCGGAGAACTGTTGGACTTCTTCACACCTCTGGGTTTGGGTCTGGGAGGAGGTGGGGGAGGAGGAGGGGTGGAACCCTCGGAGTGAGTGGACGAATTTCTGGTCTCATCTGCCGGTGAGTCGTTCATACTTCTCACCTTCCGCGTGCGACGAGGTGGCGTAGGTGCGTCTGAAAAACCCCCCTCCCCCGAGTTGTCGACCTGTGCTTGCGTTGACGAGAGTTTCCCGTTATTGCTAGCCTGCTCCCTACTTCCCTCCTTCCCTGCTTTTCTTCTCGTAGGAGCTACAGGAGGGGTATCGGCGGTATTCCCCAAAGCCTTGGCTTTCTTTCCATCTACGGAAAGATTTGATTTTTCCGACGCCTTGATGATATTGTCTGCTGAATTGTCACGGACCTTTCTTGCCTCTCTGGGCCTGGATCGATCAACTGCTGTGTACTGAAGAGCAATGTCATTGTCTTCTGAATCATTTTTCGAGACGGCAACAACGTCTGGTTTCGGTCTACTATTGCTGCTCTTTGGCACGTCATATCTCGGTTTGAGTTGTTGGAATTTCCGCTCTAAGGTAGATTTCCAGCTTTTCTCTTTGGCTACCGGGGAAGGAATATCGTAGATGTGTGATTCGCTGTCGTTGTCGTTGTCGAAGTCTTCATGTCCCTCTTCCACTCCCCCATTGTTAGTGACACGTACGTCATTGCGCGAGGCTCCGCCTTCAGCTCCGCCCACTGGATCGTCGTTGCTGCGAGGTGACGACTTGCGGGCCACGAGGCGAGCGCGTAGACGAGGGAGGGGCAGGGACTTGTGCAGTCTGCCAGAAAAGAGGCGTGGCTTCTGACTGGTGGGCGGAGCGTCGAATGTGGAAGACCTCAGGGGCCCAATCTCCACGTCTTCGTACAGGTTGTCTTCAGCATCTGCGGACGGACAGAGAGAAATATATTTCTACCTCTATAGCATTGAGCTTATCTGACAAAGCGAATATCATCATCATCATCATCATCATCATCATCATCATCATCATCATCATCATCACTACCACCATTCCACCACCACGGCATAATGCTCTGATGTTCTACACACCTTATACTCAATATAACTAAATTCAATTGACACAAAAGCCCCTTCGACTGTGTATATTATGGCCAAAGCGAGATACATTTAAAAATGTATACTACGCTTCCTAGGATAATATATGATAACATCTGATGCCAAATGTTCCACAGAAATAAGACGGAGAATTACAATGGTTAAGGCTAGCTTCAATAAAATGAGCCCAATCCTGAAAAATAGAAACATGTCAATGACTACCAAAATGAAAGTTCTAAAATGCTATGTATGGTCATCCCCTCTATATGGCTGTGAATGCTGGGCAATCACTAGAGACAGTGAAAATAAAATAGAAGCAACAGAAATGTGGTTTCTTAGGAGACTGCTCAGAGTACCATGGAAGGAAAAGAAATCACAAGAGGTAGCGCTTGATGAAGCCCGCGTGGAACGCTCAATGTTAAAAACCATCAGGAAACTACAAATGCAGTTTTCGGGACACCTGAATAGACATAAGGGTCTTGAACATCCACCATTCACTGACAAAATTGAAGGCGAACGAGGCAGGGGTAGGCTAAGAGAAACCTACTTGGGGAACCTGAACAAGTGGGTAACAGGGTAAGATCAGGGAAACGTAGCATTTTTAAGAGTATCCAAGCAAAGGAATAAATTGAGAACCATGATCGCCGATGTCTGTCGCAGATCTGGCACTTGGTGATGATGATGATGATGATGATGATGATGATGATGATGATGATGATGATGATGATACTACGCATTCGAGCAGAAAAACTGGGAAACTTCATGAAATACCATCCTTAGAGAAAAAAATAACAAAAACAACAGAACTCCCGTTTTCTGAAGGAGGGCAAAAATCCCACAAGAGACGCCATTACCTAACCCCCGCCACATTTACCTTCGTCACTGGAAACCGTGGAACCGTCCTCAGTGGATGCCGTCTCCGCAGACCCCTGCTGCTGTTCTAGCTGCTGCTGCTGCTGCTGTTCCTGCTGCTGCTGAAATTGGTAGTCGTTGGAAGAGGCGGAGTTTGGCCTGGAGGCGAGAGCCATGAGGCCCATGGCGGACGGATGTGGGAGAGGTTCTGGGTCCGCCTTGCTGTGTCGCCAATGCTTGGGGTTCAGAGCTCGGCTCAGACGCCGTACCTTGTCGAGTTTTCGTCGTTTCCCCTGGACTTCAAGACGTCTGAAGAAATAAAAAAAACGACTTAAATAAACGCCTTCTTTTGCGTAATGAAAAGCATGTCTACATGCATCTCGGTGAAATCAGGCTCTCGTCGCAAAATAACCAAATCAGAGAAAATGGCATTTAACCATTATTTTGGCAATTTGTATAGTTTTTCTCCTATGGCTCAACCCCCTTTATGCCCATATAAAAACACGCTTCCATATCAATTTGAGTGAAAAACGTTGATTAAAGGCACGGAATGTGTCATTTTTCAATTTTCAAGGACTCTTTCGCTACTGGAGTTACCAAACTTTGACAGCCATTTTCTCGTTAATATATTAATGTATTGCGCGCAGTATACGGGAATATAACGTTCATCTGTTGATCGGCACAACAGTCCAAGAATGTATAATAAAAGAACACGGCGTTACTTTTGGTGATTTGATCTTTACATTATATTATTATAATACAGTTCATTACTCTTTAAAACTTTGCCGGTTAGTGAACTTGCTAAGAAAGGTAAATTATTTTAACCACTACTTTTTTAAAGATTCTCAAGAGATAAAGTAAATAACAACAACAACAAAATAAGAAAGTGGCAGAACCAAATGTAGGAGGATTCAGTGCATAACGTAACAAACAGTTATAAGTTGGAGAATTCGTATCCCTTTCAATCGATAAGACCAGCCACTTTGCCATTCAGTGAAGCTTGTTAATGATATTCAAGATTTTTATCAACGTGAATTTTATACTACAACAACAACAACAAAAACTTCAGTGAGATCGATATCACATGTGACGTCAAAGAGATGGAAAACCTGAAACTTGTTTATGAAGTAAATGAAGCAATTCAGACCCCGTAAAGCTCCTGCATAGAAACGTGTTATCGTCAATTGCTTTCTTGGGGGGG